CCCTAACTATATAATGATCTTATTCTTGGAGAAAATCGGCCACTATGAGATAATAGAAAGGGCTAGCCGATTTTCATGAAGTGTGATTTTATCTCAAGTCATTCCATGTGTATTTGGCGTTGTGTAAACCATTTGAGGTATCACACTTGAGGCACTAGGCACTCACGCTTCATGAAGACAATCTACATCAAAGAGGTATGTAATTCTAACTTGATATATTCATTTAAATCAATGTTATTATGCTAGTTAGGATGAATACCTTGGAAAGTTCATATTTTCATGTATAATAGAGAAAACATAGATCCAAGGTATTTAGGGTTGCATGTACACTTAGGAGTGCTAGAATGCTCAAAACTCAACAAAACTAACCTTTGTTTACAGGATTTCTTTCTTCCATAGTTTTATTTTAATTAATAAAACTACCTATCTATTTACTGGAGGGTATTCCAGGAATCCGACTCTTGGTTTTATTCTGAGTGATAAAACTACTATTCATACCGGTGATAGCCATGGTTTTCACACAGGACATACATTACATACTGGTGGTAGCTAGGGTTTTCAAATAGAACGTACACTACATACTGGTGGTAGCCAGGGTTTTCAAACAGGACATACATTACATACTGGTGGTAGCTAGGGTTTTCAAACAGAACGTACACTACACACTGTTGGTAGCCAGGGTTTTCAAATGGAACATACTTTTCATACAGTAATCAACAAACATGTTAGAAAATATTGGATTTTCTTGGAAAGCATGCATACATATTTCAAAACTTGATAATAATGGTTCGCTACAAACAACATTTTACTTATAATGAAAAGAAATCATTTGTACAAATTCAGTGACTAGTTTTCAATACAAAAACATGCTTATGAACTCACCAGCTTTATGCTGATACATTTTCAAAACCGCTTGTATTCTCAGGACAACGATAGACAGGCACCTTCGCCGACTTTTGGAGAAGACGAAGCATATTGGAGTCTCGTCTTTATCTTTTCTTTATACTGATGTATACAAAATATGCTTTTCAAACATATGTAAATATTCATATTGTAATGTAATGGTTGTGTTTACTTTGATTGCTATGATACAATTGTTGTGATACTACGCATGACGTCACCCGTCACTGGATGTTTCCGCCATTGTTATCTGACGGTTCAAGGGTGTGACATGGTTTCTAACTTATTGCTAACAAATACATTCCTACCACCAACTACTTCTACTAAAACAAGGGTATTTAGTCTAAGTGGTGATAACTTATGTTTTCTACCAAATTCATGTGATATAAAGGACTGATCGGCTCTCGAATCAAATAAAATCTTAGCAGGAATTTAATTTACTATGAATGTACCTAATGCGACGTCAATCTCATTCTTTGCTTCATTAAAGTTCATCTGGTAGATTCTACTCTTCGGCTTTACTAATAGGATCCTTGAGGTTGGTTTTTCAGCATTTAGGCATTCCGCCTTCATGTGCCCTTATTCCCCACAAGTGAAGCAAACCTTTCCCTTCACTGGACTGTTTGTAGAGATAGGCCCCAACTTTTTTCATTTGTGACAGATGACGCAGTTACCAAAATGCTTCTTATTGCTCTGGTAACACCACTTTCCTTCTTGGTTGCTCGCATACTTGTTGGTTGACTTTGAAAACTTGTTGTTGTTGTTGTTTCCTAAGGACCCATCAACTTTCCTCTTTTCACTGACTTCGGATCCACCGACAGTCCTTTTCTTTATTGTACTCTCTACAAACTTTACATCCCAGATAACTGCTTCAAAAGTCGGTGCCTACTTGACCGACAAAAAATACTCCCATGGCAATCCCTTGGAGTACCTATCAATCTTGTCTAGTTCGTCATGGACCATAAGTAGTGCAAACTCCATTTTATCTATTAAAGCATTGGTGTACTCTTCAACTGTCATGCATCCCTTTTTCAATGTTAGGAGTTGATTCTCCAACTCCAATATATCTTCATCCGAACAAAACTTACTCAGAAACACAAAGAAAGGGTTATAAAAGGAGTCGAACACAAATCACTTGAGATTGATCATCTCAAGGCCAATTGTCCGAGTTTCGTGGGATGGGTGGTTCGGGCCACACCATCTGCGACTTTGAGGATCACCGATGGACACCAGGGAAAGCAAAGGCCCTAAGGGCAAGGTGATTCTTATCAGCTTACAACAGAGGAGGTGGGAGCAAAACTCAGTGAGATTGTTGGTATGTATTAATGATCTACACCGTTTTGTCTTTATGATTATATGATTATATTGTATGTGGAAAGGTACATTCTAGTCAGCTTGTTAACTGCTTTTGTTTTGAGCTATTATGGAGGTTATGCATGATTAGAATTACAAAGGGTTAGAATCTTTGACTTGGTACTTTTGCATGTTCTTGTTTGACCCTTGCTTTCAGGTGGAGTTAGTTATTCGAATGCCTATCTTATTCAATATTACACACGACTACTTAGAGATAAACTTAGATTTAGGAGCGAGACGCTCATGGTATCACTTGCTTTTAACAAGAGTTTGAAGTTGCTTCAGGTGTATTAGGCCACTCTAGGTGAAGGTAGAGATAGTCAGCTTGAGTTTGTTCTAATTATTCATATTTCAGTTCAATAACAAAGGATTTTTAAGAAGTTTTAATGATAAATGAGATGAAATATCCTCACTTTACTCGGAAATGACAAATTACAAGATAAGGAAAAGTTTATATGGAAATCCACAACGTAGAACAAGCATGGCGATGCATGAAGGAGATTTGGAATTAGATTACAATACAGACAACCGTTGAGTGCGACGTTATGAAGCCTCCGCGACGCGATCAATGACGGTTTGTACAATCTATAAATTGATGCAATTTTTCTCCACAAAAAACACACTTGCATAATAATAATAATTCGGAGCTACCAAGGAAGAAGCATCCAGTTAGGTATTTAGAAGTTTTTATTTTTGTTAACTATATTTCTTTTAGACGTTAGGTACGAAGGTAGTTAGATATTAGAGTTCTTTTTAAAAAAAACTAAATAATATCAAACTAAAACATTTAATAATTATTTAGAGGTTTTTTAATAAAACTAAATAATATCAAATCAAAGCATTTAACAATGAATGATTCAAATGTTTTAATGGTTCATTATAAATAGAATTTTCTTTTAATCGGTCAAAGTCTAGTTAAGACATTTTTGGTTCGTTCACATGTCATTTCAAAGTTGTATCTAAGAGGTTATTTAATATGTTTTTTGTTGGGGTGTGACTAGGGTCATATCCATCTTTTTTGATACTAAACTTAGAAGTTTTTGATTCAGTTATATTTTCTTTGATATACCTCTTACTGGTCAGATTGAAGACTAGATCATATATTACTAGGTGTGCTATTATCAAATTAAATAAAAAAAATTCATATAATATGTCAATGATAATATTAGAAAACAAGTCCAACATTTGTGCATCTTTATATTTTTTTTTAGTTTATTGAAACATGTAAATTAATACTTATCTAAAAACTTGACAATGCTCAAAGGTAACCGCAAAAACAAATTTCAAGTTAATGGATCTTAGAAGTTAGATATAATACTTTCATACCTAATGGTATACTAGAAACCCATTTGCCAAACACGAAACTGGCCCCTTTTAAGAATTTGAAGTTCGAACTTTACTTTGGTTTATTTGGCTTGATTAATTTTTTTGCAACATTTGCCTACTGATTCTTATTGATCTGAGCGGACAGGTTGGATGCCATGTCGGTTGCAATCCGTTCAATGCTTCTCGTTGTTGCTGCAATTCCACTTTACCTATGGCTACGCCGTGAGGTCTCACAGTCTGACGAAGAAGAACCTCAGGTTAGGGTTTCGAATCAGTTGTGAAGTTCTACAAATGAAACTTAATTTTTTTTAATCTTAAATCGATTCAAAACAAATGAATCAAAGAAGTAACTATATGAATGAGATTTATGGACTTAATAATCCCAGGGTTTTATTTTGCCACTGATTTGGAATACGTTGTCAGAACTGAAGGCAATGAAACAATATCTATGATTCAGTAGTATCAAGGATTCTAATGGTATACTAGGTTGAATTTGGTTTAAATTATAGGTAATTTATATCGATTTTTAAGTTGTAAGTGATGAAAAGTTCGTTCCTGGTTTAAAGTAATGGATATGTCCTATGGTACAACTTGTTGCATGTGGTATAAAGCCTTTATGATCTAGTTAAGTTGTTATTTTTTGAAAATTTTCAATTTAATTGATTCTCAAGAAGCTAATAAACTTGAATGTTTTGCATGTAGGCTGGGAAATCAAATGGAAGAAGAAACTATGGATATAGGTGATATGGTGGAATGTATCAGCAATCTACTAGACTTTATCATTCATCACATTCCGTCTTTTATGCCCACAAAAAAGCTTTAAACACGTTTATCTTAACTACAAGGTGGAAGAACATGTGGGCTTTTGTTCCCAACATCAAAATTGATGATAAATTGCTGTGGGATGGAGAAGTTGAGGTCGATGTGAGTGCGACATCCATTGCCTTTGTGGAATTCGTAGAAAAAGTGCTGGGTTTACAGGTTGACAAAATTCCGTCTATCATGCTATGTTTTTGATAATGAATCGCAAATATATTCATGGATTTCTTATGCAATCAGACACGAAGTTGAGGAGCTCTTTGTGACCGTTTTTAATGTGCCTCCATCTATGATTCCTAGGTCTATGTTTACGAGCACATCATTGGTTAGCCTGAAATTAAGAATGAATTGTGATTTTGAAATTCCATCTAGGTTTCTTTTCCATGCTTGAAAACCTTGCGTTTGGCTCTTGTTTGGTTTCCGGGTTTCTAGGTTTCTCAATCATGGTCATGAAGAAAAAATACTTTTCTCATGTTGCCTAATTTTAAAAGAGTTGGATTTGGAAAACTGAAAGTGGCTATACTTGGAGAACATTTTGATTTCTAGGTCTAGCTTAAAAAGCTTGAACATTTTTGATCCAACATAAACATTCTTTGATGCAGCTGATGGTTTTCAAGGGGTTAATATCAAGATCAATGCTCCAAATTTTAGATATTATAAATATAATGGATATCTAAAATACAAGAATATTTTGAGTAATACATTGTCCCCGGTCAAAGCATGGGTTCTCATTAGTAGTCCCAGAAATACAAGAATGGAAGTCGCATCTCGAGCTCTTGATCTACTCAAGCAACTTCAAAATATCATGATGTCTTTGACATTATGTGATCTAACCTTGGAGGTAATTGACAACCTAATCTACATATTAAATGGAATATATGAGAACTCGCCTCTTTGAACCAAGATTTATAAATTGATTTTTGTGTTTTGTGTGTTTTTCTTTCCCATGAGAATACTCTTTCATTTGCAGATAGTAACCATTTTCCTATGTTCCCAAATTTGACCCATCTTGTGCTGAACTTGGAACTCCGGATGGATCGTTCATTACGAGCACTGCTTTGGAGAGATTGGATATCAGATTATCTAAGCTAGGATATATATATATATATATATATATATATATATATATATATATATATATATATATATATATACCACTAATTTTCTAAAGAAGCTAACAAAAGGAAACAGAGGTACATACGGGTCTGTTGAGATTTCACGAGAACTTGATGAAACAAGCTGTGACCTCCCTTTCAAAATTCTCCAATTCCTTCATGCCCTTTGTAATCCTATTCATATCCCCTAGCTTAGATAACCTGATATCCAACCTCTTCAAAACAGATGCATACTTCAAAACACATTTAAGCCAAGATATTTGTAAATCATAAGCACGAAAGTTTCTAAAAGTCATTGTCTTGAGGCTATTTGAGATGGGATGCATGTAGGTATCGATGACCAAATCGACTCGTGAATGCTGCACATGGATTCGAGTGCAACATTCACGAGTCAATTTGGTCATCGATACCTACATGCATCTCATCTCAAATAGCCTCAATACAACTACTTTCAAAAACTTGTGTGCTTATGATTTACAAGTATCTTGGTTTAAATGTGTTTTCAAGTATGTGTCTGTTTTGAAGAGGTTCGATATCAGGTTATCTAAGCTAGGGGATATGAATAGGATTACAAAGGGCATGAACGAATTAGAGAATTTTGAAAGGGAGGCCACAACTTGTGTCATCAAGTTCTTATGAAATCTCAATAGACCCGTATGTACCTCAGTTCCCTTTTGTTAGCTTTTTTAGGAAATTAGTGGTGTTATATAGTTTTTAGCTAAATGGTAGCAATTAAAATTTATGGAAATTATTAATGTCATTTAGTTACACGTAGATTTTTTTTAAGGTTATTTGTTTGCAAAATATTAATTTAGCAAAAATCAAGAAATATAATGGCTTTTATGGGCACAAGAAATAAACAAGTGTTTCTTAATATGTTTGACTTTTTAAACTTTTTTTCCCAGGTATTAAGAGAAGGTTGTTCATTATATCTCAGAATTTATAGATAGTGTTGATATAAAAACATAAAGCAAAGATCATGAAATCCGGTTGTTATTGACTTGAGATATGATAGCCTCATTGTTATTGTTGCTGAGTCACACATACAAGTGTAATGTGGAACTATCTGATTCACTATTCGGCTACTAAGGAAACCTTATATTTGTATATGTTTGAATCCTTGAAACAAACCTTCTGCAGTTTATTGTAATTTATACCCAAAATTCTGCATGTAATCTCAACATGACAACATTTACCAAAATTTAAAACTTTGTTAGCTTGAAAATTTAACTCTTCATTTTACCCCTCACTTGGTTTTCATGCTCACTTTATCGTGCATGTTTGATATACAAACCAAATTAATAAAGACATTGATATGGGGGCTGTTTATTTACAGGATCCAAATGAAATGGATACTCTGTACATAATTGATATACATCTGGGCATCATATGGTGATGAACCATAAATTGCCATAAAAACACATTCTTTGTAGAAATTTGTCTTACAAAATCTGTTTTTGGTTTTAGTAGATGCAAATATTATTGGCTTACTGTAAAACTACTTATTTGCTTTCTTCTCTACTTTGGTTAAGTCACCATAAAGTATGCCATCATGCAAGAAAAAGTAGAAACTAAAACCCAACTGCCATTAAACTCTAAACCTAATAAATTAAATTTTCTTCTATACCTATCACTATGTTATAATCAAGGTTTTAAATAACATAAGGCGTGACTTGGCGGCAATGTCAAGCCTCAAGCTTTTCCGAACCTTGGCGAGTCACGTCGTTTGTAAGACGTGACTTAAGGCGGCAATTTTGTATATAATTCATATTTTTATTTGTATTTTCTACTATTATTCATTTTTATACACATATATGGATCAAGGAAGCGTTTTGGCAAAGTTTGGCGGCACATGCAAACCTTGGAGTCATGGCGTGCCATGGCGAGCTTTTTAGAACCTTGGTTATAATCAATCATCTTGAAATTTGTTTTTTTTTTGTATTACAGTTTTGTGATTTCTAATTAGTTACAAAATTCAGCCTCAAACAATTAAATGGACACTCAATCCACTAGATAAGATTTAGAACAATACAAATAATTGGCAGACGTGCGTACCTGTCACATCATTTGCAATGTGTCGAATCTGTTTCAACTTTGTCAAGTGTAAAGGTGTATAGGAAGCCAACCAAATCTAAACCCTAATTATCATTTATAAGGCTTTGTCTTGTTCTTTTATCAAACCATCACCTTAGTGGTCTACCATTAGTCAAAGACTCTCCACCTCACTAGGTTTTAATTGATGGGTGGTCACGGGGACACAATATACCGATATGATAAACATAAGTATTGTACTTTGATAATCATTCCTATAACCTTAAAAGACTTTTGTTTATTTTACACACAAAGATAAATAATCTAGAAATAAAGTAATAGACACATTTTCATAGTCAAATATATCATTTTTTCTGTCAAAAAAAAGGGAAATTATGGCTAAGAAAATTACATTGGAAGATTAAAAGTCATTGAATTCAAAATTAAATGGTTAAATGATTAAAAGTCAAAAAACATATTTGACACATTAATAAATTAGTGAAATGTTTTTTACAAAAAAAAAATGTAACAGAAACCAGTGTATGTTGTGGTAAAAAGAATAAAAGTACGTTGTTAATTGTTATTATAGGTAACAAACAAAAATAGGTTGCTATTGTGTGTAAAGAAATAAAAGTATGTTGTTATATTGACCAAATCATTATGTGACATAAGGAAATTCCATAAAGGAAATTATAGGTTCCTTGAAATACAATAAAAACTGAAAGGGAAATCTGCGAAAAAGTCCCAATATTTTAGCCCTATTTATGATTTAGTCCCATATTAAATTTTGTTTACAAAAAAGGACAGATTACCGGCTAAAACTTCGGATCAACCCTTCGTGGCTGGTTTCATAGATTTAGCCGGTATCTCGTCTTTTTTCGTTAATTAATCCAAATTTTGGGGCTTTTTCATTAATTAATGAAAATTTTAGGGCTTTTTCATTATTTATTACCAATAAACCAAAATATTTGGATTTTTCTGAAGATTACCTTTAAACTAATATATATTATATGATCTAATTTAATATGTACTATTCCATATCTTTTTTCTTATGCTCTTCTAGGCTCACCGTGTGTTTTTATCGGTGTCGTCAAACCCAACAACAAAAATCTCACTCACAAGTCTCGTTAACTCCATCAATTTTCCAAAATTATATATTCACAACTCTATGATCATCTTTCAATCTCCAAATAAAGAATGGAGAAAATCCTTGTTGATTACGTGGATGTCCCTATTACCTAACCATGACTTAAACCGTGGTTCCAACACTTGGATGTTCCTATTAGCTAACCATGAATTGAATCCTATTTCGAACCCATACACTATTCGCATTGTCCATAGTGTTGTTCACAACAAAATACGAATCCCACATGGTTTAACCACTAATACCTTGGCTCAAGTCTTACATAACCCTTGTTTCCTTACAATAGGGCTTGAAAACCATGAAGAATGAACCATTAAGCTTAAAAACACAACATAGGTAAAAAAACCAACTCGATATTATGTACTGAAAACCATGAAGAATGGTAACTCTAATTGTAAAAAAAATGTCAGCAAGCTATCCATCATAGACTATTAAAATATTAATTTGGTATACCTACGAGCTACGGTTCCAACACTTGGATGTTCCTATTACCTAACCATGACTCGAACCTTATGTCGAACCTATACACTAATGGCATTGTCCATAGTTTTATTAACAACAAAATACAAATCCCACATGGTTTAACCACTGATACCTTGGCTCAAGTCTTACTTGACCCTTGTTTCCTTACAATAAGTGTAACATCCCGACTCCCAGGTATAATATTTAATTAATTTGTATTCTTGTTGTCTTATCAACTTGACAAGTTAGAGGCCCCAACTCGCCGAGTAGAGAGTGTTAATGGTCACGTAATTTCTAAAGTCTACTCGACGAGTTGGAGAACCCCAACTCGACGAGTAGGAGCTGAGTTTGAAAACCCTAATTTTCAGGGGTTGTGTCCTATTTAAAGGACCTTAAGCCTTCATTTCCGCCTCCCTTGTCATCTTAACACTCTGAGAGAAACCCTAATTGAGCTATATGCTTGTAGGAGAGAAAGAGGGGATAATATTGCATATTGTAGTGCATTTTTTGGAAGAAGATTGAGGAGAAAAAGGCTTGGGACGAGAAGGAGCTCTTGGATCCATCAATAAGATTATGTTCCGATCTTTATCAAAAACTTCATCATTTATTGGTTTTTGTCTTGCCAAAAACTAATGCATTATGGAAGCCCCAAATAGACTAAAATGTAATAATGACAATTGTTGTGATGTTACATTTAAGTCATAATGACAATTGGTGTGATATTACAACAATTGTCATTATTACGTTTTAGTCTATTTGGGGCTTCCAAAATGCTTTACTTTTTGACAAAAAAAACAATAAATGATTAACCATGTGGGATTCATCTTATGTTGTGGCTTCTATAGTGTTGTAAGGAAACAAGGGTCAAGTAAGACTTGAGCCAATGTATCAGTGGTTGAACATGTGAGATTCGTCTTCTATTGTTAACAACACTATGGACAACACCATTAGTGTATGGGTTCAAGTCATGGTTAGGTAATAGGAACATCCAAGTGTTGGAACCACGGTTTAAGTCATGGTTAGATAATAGGGACATCCACGTAATCAACAAGGATTTTCTCCATTCTTTATTTGGAGATGGAAAGATGA